CCCCGCACGGGCGCCGCCCGCCGGCCTGGAGGAGGGTGCGCCGGGGACCCCTGCTGTCCCCCAGCCCGAAGGCAGAGGAGCGGAGTCGGGATGGAGGACTGAACGCACCCCCGGGGGCTCCGGGACGCGCAGGCCCCGCTTCTCTCCAGGACCTCTTCACACTCAGCTTCTAGGGCCGTGGCGGCAATAGTGAGGGCTCAGGGTTTTTTTTTAATCCTCCTGGGGGACATGCGGGGAGAAGGAGAGGGGTGAGGGGAGAGGGGAGAGAGAAACATCCATGGGCTGCCTTCCCAAACCCATAACCCAGGGACGCGGCCGACTGGGTATCGAACTGGCAACCTTTCCGCCACAAGACACTCAACCGACTGAGCCACTCCGGCCTGCTCAGTAAACTTTTGCTTAACTATTTATCTAATTCATTATTTTGGTGTGGCAGTGTGCATTTTGGAAAAAGAAACTACTGGAATCAAGTAGACATGTATTTAAATGCTAGCGCTGGGACTTACTAGCATGGAGTCCACAGGAAGGTATTTGAGCTTTGGTTTCCCTTGTTAGGGAAAGACTCGGGTGGAACACTGGAGGAGGCCAAGTGATGCCTTTATCTCACGCATGCGGACTCAGAGGCGGCAGGCTCCAAATTCTGAGCCCTGAACTGCACTAAGCGTGGCTTTATGGGACTTTCCTGGGGCATGAAACAGCCGGCGGAGTTACAGAAGCAGGATGTGTATTTTGTTGGGCAGGCAAAGATTCAAAAGGGGGGAGCTCGTCTAAAATGGCAGCAGATTCCTTATCGTTTCCCCCTTTGATGCTATTGGTTGCCGTTGCAACTCTTGCATCATGATACATGTCCCCGTATTCCGGGTCCTCGGATTCCTTGGGCTTCTGATAGGACCTGCTGGAGGGCTACAGTCTTGGCAGTAGCTCTCCTGGTAACAGTGTTCTCCAAGGTCCGGGTAATTGTTCTAACTATATATGGCCGGAGGCTTTCTCCTATAAGAATGACAAGAATGGGCCCGATCAGTGGGACGAGCCATCGGGCCCAAGCCCGGGTGTTTAGTCCCCAATTCCAGCTCTGTCTCCTTTCTGCTTTGCTGCATGCTCTCTCTCAGCTCTTTCACCTTCTGCGTTACCACCCCGGACTGGTTAACAAAATAACAGCATTCTTCACCTAGGAGTACACATGTTCCTCCCTTTTCAGCTCTGAGTATATCTAAAGCCCGTCGATTCTGTATGGTCACCCCGGCAAGCGAGTTGATTTGTTGCTGGATGGTGGCTAAAGAGTCGGCCACTTTCTCCATGTCCGTGCTCAGCCTCTCGGATAGTTTATAATATGTAGAGGCCGAAAGCCCTAGTCCTCCTATGCCTGCGCCGACACCAGCAGCTATTCCCAGTCCTGCCAGCACAGCAATCCCAGCTGCTCTCTGGGTCCGCCCTGGCATTTCCCTCGGATGGGTGCTGCTAACATTTCCTGACTGGTCTTCAGGCTGATACTGGGTACCAGGAATATCTCTACACATCTCCCAGTCCAGTTGGCGGGAAGGCACCAGTGGGCTTCCCTTCCACATAGGAGGAACAGGCCGGGCTCTGCACAGAGACTACTATTGCTGGGGATGCTGAGGTTGTGGGTGCAGAGCCCCGGGTTTAGAGTCCCTATCAAGATCGTTTCCAGTGAGGTCTCCTGGGGCACTAAGCAGGTGATGTTGGATCCTCTGGGATCCAGGAAAACATTGGTGGTGACTGGCCCCAGCGTTAGTGTCTGATTGGGGCCAGCAAGAGGCCAGGAGTGATTCCATGTATTTGGAACCGGAATTCCTAGGAGTTCTTTCTCCCTAAAAGGGAGACAAACCCAGCATTCCTTTGTGGAGTTGCTTGTATTCTGATATGCTGAGTAGATGGTTTGTATTATGCCCTGGACCTGTAAGGTTGGGCGCAATTTCTGTAGGGTCCTTTGGAAGTTCGTGAGGTTAACCCCCTCGTAGGTTATTTCCTATTGTCTCACCTCTGGGTCACCTCCTTGAGTGCTGCTTTCCTGGCTACCTCAAGTTCTTCCTGATTCACGTTACTCAATGGCCGTACAGGACCCCAGCACACCTGCCTGCCTGGCGGCCCGTGTCCCTGACATTTCTGAGCTTGGTGGCCTACGGTCCCTTCCATGATTCCTGTCCAGTAGACTCTGCCATCCCATATACATTGTGTTTTACCTGATTTTACGCAATCTTGAGGTATGTCCGTACCATAGGCAAAGGCGCTTCCCTGGCTCAAGTACGCTGCGGCACCCCCTGAAAGCCTTAGCCTCTCCCTGGGTGCACTGCACCGGCGTTGTGGAGAAGTTACGTGGTTGGGGTAGTTACAGAAAGCAAACTACATAGCCACATGAGCAAACAAAACCAAGGTATAGTCCTCCGAGAGCTCAACATTCCCATAAGTTCCAGTCCGGAGGTGCCATTGTCACCATGTCACCAGTCCTATTCCGAAGATGGTGGCAAGGAGTCCTGCGGCTGCGAGTCACCATTCTGGACAACGGCCCATCCACGGGTTGGTCCCTTCCTCAGTTTCAGTGGGGGCAGCCGCAGTCGGGATTGGTCCTCAGAATCTTCGTTGGCCTCGCGATCCGCTGCTCCCTTAACCCGGGTGTAGTGGACCCAGGCTGCCGTTCCTGCAATCTTAAGTGCAGTAGGGGTTGTTAATATGATCAAGCGGGGCCCGGTCTAAGTAGGGTGGAGGGGTTCCTTCTTCCAATCCTTGACCCAAACATAATCTCCTGGCTTAAAAGGGTGCACTGGCCCCCCTCTAGGGACTGGATCAAGGCCTAATCCGGCTTTGTGTATCTGTTCTAATGTTTTCCCCAACCTCTGGAGATATCTAGTCTGGTTGACCTCCCCGACTACCCGAAGCTCCCCTCTCGGGATGGGTAGGACCACTGGCGGCCTTCCGTACACCAGTTCAAAAGGTGTATAACCCATGGAGTTAGGGGCGTTCCGGACCCTAAATAGCACTAAGGGAGGCAAATCAGGCCAGGGCAGGTTGGTTTCTTGGTGGAATTTCGCCAGAGTTTCCTTCAGGGTTTGATTAATTCGTTCTACCTTCCCTGAACTCTGAGGCCGATATGCAGCGTGCAGCTTCCAGGTTATCCTCAGTTGCTTTGCTAGGTTTTGAATGACTTTGGTGACAAAAGCCAGCCCATTATCGCTACCTATGGACATCGGCAGCCCAAAACGGGGGATTATTTCCCATAGGAGAGCCTTGACTACCTCCGGGCTTTTCTCAATCCGGGTGGGGTAAGCTTCTACCCACCCCGAGAAAGTGCAAACTAGGACTTGCAGGTATTTATAACCTCGTCTCGCTTTGACCTCAGTAAAATCAACTTGCAGATCTTCGAAGGGCTGTTGCCCCCTGTGCTGTGCGCCGATGAACCTCTGCAGGTGAGGGGCAGCATTATTCGGGGCGCAAGTTATGCATCGGGCCACAATCGTGGTACATATGCTGGCCAGGTTAGGGAAGTAGTAATACTTCTTAAGCAAAGCCTCCAGAGACGTCTTCCCCGGGTGAGTCAGGGCGTGGCACTGCCTTACTAAGTTACTCGCCTGGGTCTGAGGTACATAGAGCCGTCCATCCAGCAGTTCCCAAATACCGGTCGCAGTCTGGGAACACCCTGCCTGTATCGCCCATTTTTGTTCCTCGGGAGTGTAATCTGATTGTGTAGGGCTGAGGTCCAGTAAGGCCCCCTGTAGGGCCCAGACATCGGCAAGGGTACTCTTGGTCTGGGCCGCTACTTTGGCTGCTTGATCTGCCCGCCAATTGCCCCTGGCCACTGCGGTCTCTTCCTTCTGGTGGCCCTGGCAATGGATTATCGCCACCTTAGCCGGGGCCCATACCGCCTCTAATAACCTAAGTATCTCAGCTTTATTTTTAATGCCTTTTCCTTCGGCGGTGAGTAATCCCCTCTCCTGGTAGATGGTGCCGTGGATGTGTACAGTGGCAAAGGCATATCTGGAGTCTGTGTATATGTTGACCTTCTTTCCCTTTGACAATTCTAGGGCCCTGACTAGAGCCCATAGCTCTGCTCTTTGTGCAGACCATCAACTGGTAGGGGTTTAGCCTCTAATATCTCTTTATTATCGACTACTGTGCACCCTGCTAGCCACCTCCCGCCGGCCATTTAACTGCTGCCATCTGTGTACAAGGTCAGGTCCGGCTGGCTTAGTGCTGATCCTGCAGGTCCGGCCTCAGTCACTTCCAGGCAATCATGGTCCGGCTCCCCACGTTCAGCGGGGAGGAAGGTAGCTGAGTTTATCAGCCGTATGGTGCTGACTTTTACTCGGGGGTTTTCGTGGAGTATTCCTTGATACTGAGTCAGCCACGGGTTGGATAGCCATCTGTGTCCCTGTCCAGCCAGGAGGTTGGATACCGCATGTGGGACAAATAGGTTGATCTCCTGTCCCAAGGTTAGCTTGTCTGCCTCCTGTAGGAGGACGACCGCAGCAGCTACGGCCCACAGGCACGGGGGCCATGCGGCGGCTACGTTGTCCAGCTGCTTGGAGAGGTAGGCTACTGGCCTCTGCCATGGTCCTACCAGGTCCTAGAGCTGTTTTCTCCCTTTCGTGCTTATACAGTTTGAAAGGACGACTTGGATCCAGCAGGCCCAGAGCAGGGGCCAGGCAGAGGTGATCCTTGATGGCCTGGAAGGCGCGTTCTTGCTCTGCTTCCCATAGGAAAGGGGCTGTGTCTGGGCCCTTCAACGCCTGATATAGCGGCTTCGCTAAGGCGGCATGCCCGGGAATCCAAATGCGACAGAATCCAGCCTCCCCCAAGAATTCGCGCAGCCTTCCCTTGGTGGTAGGGACGGGTAAGACTTGGATCACTTGTTTTCTTTCTTGTCTTAGGGTCCGTTTTCCCTGAGAGACTAAGAACCCTAAGTATTTCACCTGGGGCTGACAGATTTGGGCCTTCCTCCATGAGACCCGATATCCCGCCTGAGTCAGGAGTTCTAACAGTTGGCAAGTTCCTTCCCAACAGTGGTCCTTGGTGGTTGCCGCCAATAAGAGGTCATCTACGTACTGTAGCAAGGTTAGGTCAGCCTCGCTGTCTATAAATGACCTCAGGTCCCACCCCAGGGCCTCCCTGAAGAGGATGGGGGAGTTCTTAAATCCCTGGGGCAGCCTAGTCCAGGTTAGTTGAACCTTAGCCATCGAGTGGGGTTCCTCCCATTCCAAGGCAAAGAGGGGTTGGCTTTCTTTGGCCAGTCGGAGACAGAAGAAGGTGTCCTTTAAGTCTAAGCAGGTAAACCAGGCGGCTTCTGGAGGAAGCTGGCTGAGCAGGGTGTACGGGTTCAGGACTACAGGATGCAGGGTGACTGGTGCCTCGTTTACGGCTTGCAGGTCCTGGACCGGTCTGTATCCTGTCCTGTCTGGCTTCTTTACCGGGAGCAGTGGAGTGTTCCAAGGGGGTTGGCAAGGGATGAGTATCTGCTCCCTTGGGTGCTTTTGAATGACCTCTGTGATGCCGAGTCATGCCTGCTGTGGAATGGGGTATTGGCGGGTCTGCCTTGGCCCTGCTCCAGGCTTCATGTCTATGATGAAGGGGTCATGGTTCGTAGCCAGTCCTGGTGGGTTGTCTTCAGCCCAGACTTGAGGGTACCGTGTGCTGAGGCTGGTGACCCTTTCATCCATGGCCAGCTCCCCCGTATTCCCCTCCGGCCCTCATAGAGGCGGTATTCTTCCCCTTGAGGGATGAGAAGTGCCACTAGAGATGGTGCGTCGACCTGCAGGTGGGCTTCTCCCTAAGGTTTGAAGGAGATTTGAGCCCCTAATTTGGCAAGCAGGTCCAGTCCCAACAGTGGGACGGGGCACTCAGGGAGATATAGGAACTCATGCCTTACTTGATGGCCCCCTATTTCTACAGTTCGCACTTGACAGAACCTTTTCGGGCCGCTCAGCCGTCCGGTTGCCCCGACGATAGAGATTTCATGTCCCGAAGGGGGAGCAACAGCAGTGGTTACTACTGAATGCTCAGCTCCTGTATCTACCACGAAGGGAAGGGTTTGGCCCCCCACAGTTAATCTGACCATGGGCTCATGGGGGCCAAGATTCAGAGAGCCTGGTCTTTCCTAGTCCGAGTCCATGCCAGCCAGGCTGAGGATGGTTGGGGCTTGGGCCTCAGGCTGCGGGGCACTGTGAGCCTGCCTCTTCTTCTTCTGGTCGGGGCACTCCCTCTTCCAGTGGCCCCTTCTCTCTGCAGTAGGCACACTGATCGGCCTCCACCCTGTGGTGTCCGGCCTTTCCTTTAGCCTGGGGTCCCCTCGGAGGTGGCAGGGGTCTTCCTAGGGCTGCGACCTGGAGGGTTGCCTTTTTCTCCATCTTCTTCCTGGCCTCTCTTTCAGCCGCCTCCTCCCGATTGTTGTAGACCTTACTTGCGACCTCTATGAGCTGGCTAATGTTCATCCCGGCGAAGCCCTCGAGTTTCTGGAGCTTCTTCCTGATGTCCGATGCGGACTGAGAGACAAATGCCGTATTTACCATTCTCTGACTGTCCTGTCCTTCGGGGTCGAATGGCGTGTAAATTCGGTACGCCTCGCACAGTCATTCGTAGAAGTCTCCGGGACATTCATCTGGCCACTGGGTCACACTGGCCACTTTAGACATATTGGTGGGTCTTCGGGCTCCAGCTCGGACACCAGGGAGGAGGGCCTCTCGATACCTCTGCAGGGCGGCCCTACCTTCCTCTGGGTGATGGTCCCAATCTTGTTGAGCTTCGGGTGCAGCCGCTCTTGCCCATTGCGCCGGGTCCAGCGTCCCCACCGGTGCGGCAGTTTCTAGGTATCGGAGGGCTCCTCGGAGCATGCGCCCGCGCTCCTTGGCATTGAACAGTGAGGAGCAATTGGCGGCAGTCGTACCAGGTGGGCTGCGAGTCTGCATAATTGACGCCATAGGGTCTATTAAAGCCCGGGGCTTCTCTGAGTGTGAGGGAGTGTGATGCTTTCAGTTAAGGAGGTCGGTGGTTGTGAAAGGCTGATGGTAGACTATTGTTCGCCCCCGGAGTTCTGTCCCGTCAGGCCCGGCCTGTGGCGGCGCCTGAGTCTCTCTCAAGGGTAATTGCAGAGGTCGCCTAGGGCGACCCCTGGTTGCCATTGGTGATGTTGGGGCTGCTTCTGCCTGGCACTGCACCGAGACTGATGGCGGAGGGGTCTCAAGTTCTGGGGCCCTCGGCTCTGGAGCGTAAGGCGGAGGCGTGCTAAGTGGTGGCTCTTCCTCCAGGTCGCCCTCATGGATTGGCAGCCGCTGGGTCTCCCTAGGGCAGGCTACTAACACAAGGGAGGCTTTCTTCTTCGCCCCGGATATTCCAACGGATCAGGGCGCCTGTTTCTGACATTGGCGAAGCCAATTCGGTAACTCGCGCGCTAACTCCTGCCACCTATCTATATAGATGTACTGGTCGGGGTGTCCTGGCTTCCCTGTAACTATTCGGTGTACTGCCCGAATTATGCTTAAACTGAGGGTTCCCTCAGGGGGCCAGCCTACCCCAAACATTGGCCACTCGACCGAACAGAAAGTGTCGAGCTGGTCCAGGATCATTGAGGGATCCTGCCCCCTGAACCGCTCAAAGTTCTTAAGCATGCAGTCTAACACCGTCGATGGGCCACCTCCCATGGCTTGTCCCCGCAGCGTCGGCGCAATCAAACAAAGGTTGGGTATTCTGTTCGCCCGCCTGGCCGCTCCCCTCGCGGGGATTTAGGTGCCTCTTAGCTTTGGCAGGTCAGTATAAACCCCTGACCCGGATCAGACTCGCAGGGAGGGATGAGGTCCGCCAGAGCCTGATGCTGCCCTGAGCCGTATGAGGTCACCACGGACCCGCAGGTTGGGGTCCACTCAGACTCCGTAGGCAAGAACCGGTGGAGCCACACAGACATACACTCACATGCACACATCCATTCAACTGAGTTTAAACATTCCCACCCGGTGGGATGTCCCCGCCTGTGGCCAGTGGCCATGAGAGGTGATCAGTCCCTCCTTCCACCCTCAGGGTGGCCTGATCTCGGGCTCCTGGTCCCCGGGGCACTCACCAGTCCTGAAGAGATCTCGTCCCCATATCCGGATCCATTCACACCCTTCGACAGCCCGGGTGGGTGGACTCCACCGGCGACAGTCCGTGGAACTCCGCGCGGGCTGGGACCCGAAATAACTGGGGCGCGCGCTTCCCTTCCCGCCCCACAGCTCCACAGACTCCCGCGGGTCCCTCACCGGTGGCAAAAAGCCTGCTCGCGTGAGTCATTTCCCGGTCAGGGAACCAAAATGTTACGGAAAGACTCAGATCGAACACCAGAGGAGGCGAAGTGATACCTTTATTTCACGCATGCGGACCCAGAGGAGGCAGGCTCCAAACCCTGGGCCCTGAACTGTGAGCTCAGCGTAGCTTTATGGGACTCCTGTGGCACGAAAACAGTGGGCGGAGTTACAGAAGCAGGACGTGTTCGGTTGGGCAGGCAAAAATTCAAAAGGGGGGTCTCATCTAAAATGGCAGTAGATTCCTTATCACTCTATCCATACAAGAACAATAGTATTTATTTTGCAGTGCTGTAAACAGAATTACCAAAAATATATAGCATTGAACAAAAGACCAGCTATATTACACTGCAGATGCTGAAGAAATGTAGTCTTACTGGTTTCTGGTTTTTTTCCTATGATGACACAGCTTATATGCTATTAAGGGTAGGGGAAATCTCTGTGATCATTTCTATGACCCCTCCAATGGCTTAGCTAAGCATGCAAATGATCCTATTAACCCAAACCTATGTAACTGAATAAAACTAATTTTACAGTACTGTAGATTTGATACTCAGAGTATACAAAAATGATGCCACAAAGTGTGCGGGTGCCTCCCGATAGTAAAGGGAGGGTGCACACGAACACAGTTACTCCACCTTTTAAAGACTCAGGATCTGTGTAACGATGTGTCCCATACTCAGCCCCTGTGTTTGGTGACTATGGCAGCCAGGGAAGAGTGCACTAAGCAGTTATTCCAAATAAAACGTGGTCATTTTCCAACTCTCACTTTGACGACAGCCATGATTTCTAGAAATAGAACTGGGTTTCGGTGCCTTCTTCAATAAATATAAAGTGACTGTCTGATAAACAAGGTAATCAGTTCAGTAATCAGTGAGTGTTCTGCTCTTGTTGTAAATGTAAAAGCCTGTTGTAAATGTACTTAAACCTACTTAACACAATATCTTTCTATAGTTACAAATAGTAAAAATAATCCATTTTCATATTTAAAATCTGTCCTCCAATAAAATATGTAAATAATAGTAACAAATTTCTTATACTTTTCAGGTAGGCAAATTTTAAAATATTTTATTATTGTGCTCACATTTAAAGAAAAATCAAAGGTTTCAAGAAAAGCTAGCATGTCTCTCTCATGCTCTTAATTATAGTTTTGTAAAGCTTGTGGCAATTTTTGAATGTTTATTACCAATTTTGAAAAAATTAAATCTCAAGGAATATCTAGCCCTTGTTCTAAAGTTGCTTTCCTTCAACTACACACACATAAGAAAAGAAACCTTCTTGGCGGTGTGGCTGCTGCTCATCCTGCCATTCGTGTCAAGACACAAGAACAGCTCTGGACTCCTGAATCTTTACTTAGTTCCTCAAGGCAAGGCAGGAGGGCTAGGTAGATGCTGCCTGTTAAAAACACGAGGTTAAATCAGGTAAACCAAAAGCACGAAGTTCCAGAAACTAACTCCAGTTTGTATCTTTACAAGAAGAAACTGCATAGGATTTTCTGCTTCCACATTTCCCTATAAGACCACGAGAACAATAACATATCACACCCCGTGTGTGTGTGCATGCATGTTCATGTGCTTGCGTGTGCATGTGTGTTTGTATGCATGTTCATGTGTGTGCATGTGCGTATGCATGTGCTTGTGTGTGCGGCTCTTTGCATGCATGTTCATGTGTGTTTGTGTGCATGTGTGCATGTTTAAGTGCTTGTGTGTATGTTCATGTGTGCTTGTGTGTGCGTGCATGTTAGTGCGTGCATGTGTGTTCGTGCGTGTGTGCATGCGTTTGGACGTGCATGTGTGTTTGTGCATGCATGTGTGTGCATGTGTATTCGTGTGTGCATGCATGTGTGGTCGTGTGCGTGCATGCGTGTGCGCATGTTCATGTGCACGCGTGTGTGCTCGTGTGCATGCATGTCCGTGTGCACACGTGCATGTGTGCTCGTGTGTGCATGTATGTTCTTGTGCGTGCATGTTTGTGTGTTCGTGTGTGGTCATGTGTGTGCATATTTGTGTGTGCATGCATGTTCGTGTGCGCGTGCACATTCTTGTGCATGTATGTGTGCGTGAATGCATGTTCATGTGTGTGCATGTGCACCTTGGGAATGTTTGGCAAATACAATTCTTCCTTCTGATCTAGCTGCGCACAGTGCCATTTACTCCTAGGCCTCACTGACAGTTGTTCCGCAAAGCACTAAGCCATAGGTCTCTGGACCGTGAAGCTCCCTGGACCATGAACGTCCTCACATAGTGTGTCACTGAAACGAGCCAAGTGACATGCACTGGGGTTCATTTGTTCTTTCGTTTACTCATTAATCTTTATGTAATTCACTGGTCTCATCCCTTGTAATAATGGCTTTGTGGTGAAAACGGACTGCAATACGTGAATTACATGCA